GCGTCGCGGGGCGGCTCAAAGGCGGCGAAGCTGGGGCGGCCATAGCAATCGACGTCCTCCGGGGCGCTGCCTTCAAGGGAGGCCGACGGCTGCGCGGGCGCAGACTCCAACACAAAGCTGCTGCGCGCGCTGCGCGCGCCCGCGCTGCTGCCGCCGCCGCCGCCGCCGCCGCCGCCGCGGCTCGAGTCGAGGCTGCCGCCGCCGTCCTGGCGCTGCTGCTGCTGCTGCACGGCCCCGCTGCCCGAGTCGCTGCCGCGCGCGGGCGCAGCCGGTGGCTGCGCCCGGCGCTGATCGTCCGAGGACCGCCGCCCGGGGCCCGCCGGCGGCCGGCCGCGCTCGTCTGACGAGCGGCGGCCCGGGTACTGCTGCTGCTGTCGCAGCTGCTGCTGCTGCTGCTGCTGCTGCTGCTGCTGCTGCTGCTGCTGCTGGGGGTGACCAGGCGCGTCATCATGAAACGCTGCCGCGTCCCCGCTCGCGCCGCTCGGCCCGCGGCTGGCGCTGGCGCTGGCGCTGGCGCTCGGCTCTTCTTCCAACACCATCCCCTTCACAGTCAAATCCAAAGACGGCGTCATGGCCCCCGCATACTCCCCGCTTCCCCCGCCGCCCCCCGCGCTTCCCGCCGCCGCGCCGCCGCCGCTGACGAGGACGGCGTTTCCGCCGACGTTTCCGCCGCCGCGTTCGCTGCTCGCGGGCCGGCTGCCGGCCGCGCCGCCCGCGCCGCTAGCGGAGCTACTAGGGGGGCTGCTGGCGTTGCCGGGGCGGCCGGCGGCGCCCGTCAGGCTGTAGTTTGCTGAAGAGCGCCCCGCATATGAGGCCCCTGCGGGTGGCGGTCGCGGTGGCGGTAGCAGCGCCGGTTCAGCGGCCGTCGCACAGCATAGGGAATAGGCGGGGCGGGCCGCGCGGACGCGCGTAGCGGCCGTGGTGCATGTACGGCCCCTCGCAAGGGGCCATGGGCGTCCTAGGGGGCGATTGTGGGCATGAGCGCGTGCTCGCCCACCTGACTCGTCCATGCAAGCGGTGTCCGTCCCGGCGGTCAGGCGGTCGCTGGAGCCGCCCGGCCGGCCGCCGCCAGCTGCATTTGATGTTTTTGGCCCGAATTCGGTCACACTGCCGGACTGGCCCATTAAGAGCGGCTGGGGGAGGGGTCCGGGTGCGGCGGGCTCGTTGGAGGGTGCCGGGTGGGTGGTCGGGGGTGAGGCGTGGTGTGGAGAGGACATGTGGCTGTAGTGCGCAATCGTGGGGGGCGGACCAGCACACAGG